CGATTACTGTAAATAAGTATTTTATTTGTTAGTTTCATATAAATGACTTCATCTTTGAAAAACAAAAAGTGTTATCCAGAAACTCTAGGAAATGTTCAAGTCTAGGCTCCAAATCCTGTTCCGTGGTACGGCCAAAACTCTATGACGTCTTGACGAGACGGACGACGAGGACTCTTGACGGTTTTAAGCTACAACTTGTTCGGGATGCGGTCGGCYAGTCAGGAGTCGGAGAGCGGGCCGAGGACGGCGACAGCTTCAATTTCCACCAGCCCACCCTGATGAGAAAAAAAAAGATGAAGAACAAAGAACAGATCATCCAGTAATTATCACGAGAAAACTACACATTATGWATAAAATCTACTACAGAGAACCGCTTCGTACTCACTCTGGGGAGAGCAGCGACCTGGTAGGCAGCTCTGGCAGGAAAGTTGCTGCTAAAAACTAAAGAAAAATAAATGCATCAATTTTACAAGCTTGAAGTGAAGTAACCAGAATGCAGATTTGTTCCTTGACATCATTTGATGTTTTGCGGAGTAAATTTAAGTGTCACGCTAACAGTGGGAGCATCTTTCCTTTCCTCTCACTAGTTTCAGGGAAAGTTTCCTGTTTTTTTTAGGCTTCAGTAGCATCTGGAGGGAGGCAGGAGCTTGTCAGCCAAGKCATCGCCCTCAGGCGCTGGGAAAGGTTGGGTTACATCTATGTGCCCGTGAGGCGGTGTCCACTTACAAYACACTGGACACTGCAGCTTTCATTACACCTGACTGTTGTGATCCAGCAGGAAAAGCCCAAACGCTGCACTCTGAGCACAGGAGGAGCTAACGATTTGGTGTCCAACTGAGCCATACAGTGTAAAGATCTGACTTACTGAGAACTGGTTTGACATTTCTATGTTTCAAACTGAAGCATTAGACAAGGTTGCAACAAACTATCACCTATCTTCACTTTTGAYACCATGACCTTGAAATTATTCAAGAGGATATGCAGTTTGATATTCCTACGTTAAACAACTATTTAGTGTTTGTTTTTTTCATATCTCTGATCACATTGGTGCTAAAAGCTGTTTTGTCTGATGCTTTCAAAACAAATTTGCCTTTTTTNTTACAAGACAAAATAAACAAAAAAATTTTAAAATGTACTTATTAAAGTACTGACTCACATGTCTTGTAGACCTCGTTGACTGTATTGAAGTCGTTTATGTCTTTAAGCAGCACAGTGGTCTTCACCACTACAAATTAAAACAAAAAAAAGTTTGGGAGGTAAGCTAAAACATAAAACAAAGGTGAGCAGAAATTAAGCAACTGAACATCTTGAAAAGCGGTGAAATCTCACCGTTGTTAAAGTTACAGCCAGCAGCTTTCAGGATTTCCCCCATATTGAGCAGAGCCTGCAGGAAAAATGAATGAACGAAAGGATGAGGAAGAATTGATCGATATTTACTGTAGACACATTTTCTGCACAGAATTTTAGTTTTGACTGTTCCTTCAACGTCAAGTGAATGAACACTTTAATTATGATTAAATAATAAAGTACACAAAAAGACTATTTTTTAACATCTGCTGTGTATAAAACTTTTTCCAGCAGGAATTCACCATCAGATACAGTCTCACAGCTGTGCACCCAGTTTATATTAAACCACTTAAGGGGGTTCACCTGTCTGGTCTGCGCCTGCACCCCTCCGTCCACCAGCTGCCCAGAAGCCACGTCCATACCCAGCTGACCAGAGATGTACACGGTTCCGTTCACCACCACCGCCTGGCTGAGGGCGACAGAACAAACTCTGAGTATTTACAGACAGAGATATCTGCAAACCACTTCAGAATATTATGAAACAAGTCATGTTTGAGCTTTGATACTTTGGTTTTTTTACCCCAAGATCACTCTGTGCTCACCTCTTAGCTGTCTTTATTTATTGAGGTAATTTTTTTGTGCAGTAGTAGCTACTGATCACTCAAGATCTACTCTAAAAACTTAGCTCTTAACTACAGTCAATGCTTCCTGTGTTAGCAAAATACACTCCTGATCAAAATCTTAAGACCAGTCAAAAAAGTGC